AGCTGGCTTATGGCAAAGCCAGGATAGAGAGACAATCTGGGGCGCCTGATGGCTCCATCAGTTAAGCGTCCAACTTCAGCTCAGGTCATGATCTCACAGTTCGTGAGCTCGAGCCCCACCTTGGGCTCTGTTGTCAGTACTGAGCCCACTTCGGATCCTCTGTCTCCCCCTCTCTCTGCCCCTCTCCAATTGTTCTCTCTCTCTCTCTCAAAAACGAATATAAATTTTTTTAAGAATCTAAAAAAAAAAAAAAAAAAAAAAAAAAAAAAGAGAGAGAGAAAAGAAAGTCCATCTAACTAACTGATTCACTGGGATCTGTCTCCTCGGGCATCTTCTATCTTGAAGTCCAAGGGAGCTGGCAGCTCAAGGGTGGAGAAATGAGTTTAGACACCTACAGAGATACTGACTGAGCTGTTTGTATCAGCTCCCACGAGCTGTCCTGTGCTCCAAAGTTGTCCCGGGGGCTAATTCAGACCTGGTGTCTGGGGGGTGCGGGCAACTTGCCAGGACACGGGAATACGGAAGCAGGAAAAGAAAGTAGGGTCCCTTCTAACAAAATCGAACGGTCCACCTGCCTGGTGTGGTGTGGGAGCCACCCTGTCTGGAGGCGGGGGAGGGGCGGGCACCGCATGACCCTCCCGAGTGTTCTCCCATAGAGGGCCTCGCTCAAGAGTTATTCCACGAGTGCCCACTCCCTGCCAGGCCTGGCTGGGCGCTGGGCGCCAAGGTGAGCGGCACAGAGAGGAGCCCTGCCGGCCCTCACAAGCCTCTGCGCCCTGGCAGCCTCTCACCGATGATGATGAAGGCCACGGCGATGGCGTAGGCCAGCAGGTAGCCGCGCACGGGCTCCTTGTTCTTGCCGTAGCCCTTGCCGAAGAAGCCGATCAGTGGGTACAGCTGGTCCTCGCACAGGCACTGTGGGCACAGGAAGACGTGCTCACCCCAGGCTGGGCGCCCCCCTCCCCTCCCTTGCAGCCCCAGCTGGCCCTGCTTCCTCCCTCCACCTCAGCAGACCACTTGCCCCAGTCTGGGTCCTGTCTTCTCTCTCTCTGTCTCTTTTTTAAACGTTTATTTTTGAGAGAGCATGAGTGGGGGAAGGACCGGGAGGGAAGGAGACAGAATCTGAAGCAGGCTCCAGGCTCTGAGCTGTCAGCACAGAGCCCGACATGGGGCTCGAACTCGCGCACCAACCCACCAACCGTGAGATTGTGACCTGAGCCGAAGTCAGACGCTTACCTGACCGAACCACCCAGGCTCTCGGCTTCTACTTGGGTGAGTCATCTCCCTGCCCACCCCCACGTCACCAGGGAGCTAGCAAGGGGGCAAAGAGAGGGGGTGGCCCGCGTGGGGGTGAGACTGGGTCAGAGAAATTGCAGGCAGGGCGCCAGGCTGCACAAGGGAGACTCTGGGAGGGAAACTGGTGCCCTTGTAGCACACTCATGATCGGGCCGCTCTCATGGAGCCTGTTTTACTAGCCCTTCTCCTTCAGTCTAGACGTCCCCGTCCCATGATAACTCCAGGCCTCAGGGTCACCTAAATTCCTTCTTCTTCCTTCCACTGGCCTTCCGACACTGCTGCCCTGCCCATGGCCCACACCTGGAAGACTTGGCGGTGAGACGAGGCAGGCCAGGGGCGGAGGAGCGTGGGCCCAAGATGCCGATCAGGGGAGCCGGGCCCCGCCGAGCACCATGCCTATGGTCTGCAAGGAGGTCTGCCTCTCATGGTGGGGCCCTCACTCGGGAGTCCCCACTCAGGCAGGGGCTGGGTCCTGAGGCCCCGAAGCCCACACTCCTCAGCCTGAGATCCCAGTGCCCACCGAAGTCAGGACTGGGGCCCAGGGGCCCCGTGCACCCGGCGCCTGAACCTTTTCCCAAGGGACCCAGCCCCAAACTGCAGGCCCCAGCCTGCTCCAGCCTCTCTGGTCTGGTCCTTCCCTCGCCTGCTGGGCCAGACTCCCTGGCAGAAGCCACGCATCTGGTAGTAGCTGATGAGGCCATAGCGGCACAGCTGGTGGGCACACTCTGTGAAGTTCCAGCCAGAGCCACAGGCCAGTCCTCGCGAGGCTGAGCCGGGGTCACCCAGGGACCCCTGCTGGAGGCATCACAACCACGAGGAGCCTGAAGGGGCAGCAGGGCTTGGGAGGCCTCCTGCCCGCCTCTTCCTCCTTCCTCCTCTCCTCCCACCCCAGACACTGGCCGCTTCTACAGGGCTGGGTAGATGCTTGAGGGGCCAGCCTCAGCGCAGTGCCACTACTGATGATGACGACGGCGACGGTGGACGGCACGAATCCGCTAACGCGGCAGTGAGTAATTCCACGACCGTACACGCCAGCCCGGGCTAAGCGCTTTGAAACAACCCTGTGCTGCGCATGACCATCGCTTTCGTTGTCGGTGCCATTCTACAGTGGCGTGGTGACCTACAGTGACCCGTGAAGATCACCATGTCCTTCTTAAAGCAGAGACCTGGCTGGCTGTGACCGGGGCCGTGTCCCTCGGCCATCCGTGAGCGGCTCGCCTCATAAGGGGGTGGCGGGCAGCCAGAGCTCTTGAGGATCTCAGGCGAGGGCAGCAAGGGTCAACAGCCCAGGCCTGGGTTCAAACCTGGCTCCACCACTCAGTGGCTGTGTGACCCTGGGCAGGTCGCTTAACCTCTCTGAGCCCTGCTTTTCTCCTCTGTAAAATGGCGGGTTGACAGTGCCTGGATTGAATGCGGTGAGGCATGTCAAGGGCTGGGCATGTGGTTGAGTCAGCGGTTAGTGCTGTCTTCACCACCACCACCATCATCATTATTGTTATTATTACCCGTCCTTGGGTCAGAGTATAGTTTGTCCTCTAGGAATTTCCCACTCTTGAATCTGTAACCTCAGGTTTGAAGGGACCAGAGGAGCCTGGTCTGACCGTCCCCATCCCCACCACAAACGACCATCCCTCCCCCCCCCCCCCCCCCCCCCCCCGGAAGATGTTCTGGTCACCACCGGTTGTCCCCAAAAAGAAGGTTTGAGGGTCCACTTCTTGAGGTCACCATGCTCTCCCTGTTAGAGAGCTGAGCCCCCTGCCCCGTGTGACCCTTCCGGCGGTCTGGGCTGGCTACTCACCGATGGTGGCCGAGATGGCCAGGTAGGAGACAGTGGTCCAGAAAATGGCCATGAGCGTTCCCTTGGGAATGGCTACAGCAGGGTCCTGGGGGAGGGGGAGGAAGAGAGAGAAGGCATCAGTTAGCCTCTGGGCCTCCGTCAGGCCCTTCTCTTGTCTGAGGCCCGGATGGGCCAGCAACTGCTGGCTGTGTGTGAATCACCGTCAGGTACCCATTGATTTGTGTGGTTCCACAGCAATTAACATACAGACAAGCCCCAAACTCTCTCTCCTCTGAGGAGAAACTCTCTGCGGGCATTTTCCTAGCAGAAATAACAAATCTTCACATGCACACATCGGGTATTCCACTCTTCCAGACACTTCCTCAAACATAACTTCCTGGGCAGTGGCCAGGGTGTCCCTACCCTGCTGGCGGGGAAACTGAGGCCAGGAAGCAGAGCGGAGGCCCCAGCCGGCTGAGCCAGGGGCGGCTCTGTCCTGACCACACCAAGTCCGCAGCTTCAGGCCTGGGGGGGCTGGTGCTGAGTGGTGCAACACAGGTAGGGACTCTTACAGCAGGGTCCCCCCGCCAGGTGTAGACCCTAGCCCCGGGGGCAGGCCACACAGGCACTGGGAAGGACATCCGTGCACCTCCCCAGCTTTCCCACAGCTGGCAGGTAGAACCACAAATTACAGAGCTTGGAGGGACCGCGACACCGTTCAGCGTCACAGTCAGGTCCAGACAAAGCTGGCAACAGCCAGTTCCCTGCCTCAGACACTCAGGAGCCTGAGTTGGAATCGATGGTCACTCAGTGATGAATGAACGAGCCCCGGACCCCGCCCTTAAGGACCCTGTGCCCCAGGGAAGGAGGTCCCGCCAACACAGGGCGGATGGCACCTGTCATGGGACAGCCTGAAGTGTTCTGGAGAACAAGGGGAAGGAGGGAGAGCAACACCGTGCAGCAACCACGGAGGGCCTCATGGCAGAGGGGACAGCTGAGGTGGCTCTGAAGGCCCTGGGGTGGGAGGAAAGGTGAGGCAGGCCAGAGCCAAGCGGAAGCAGAGATGCGTTGCTGGAGCGAGGCTGGGGGACCTGGAGCTTCCAGATCTGCTGCAGTGTCTGCTTTGGGGGGCCTGGTGGCTCTTCCTTGGGTACCAGGATGGCCTGACTAGGTCAACACACAGAGTGCCCCTGGTCCCAAGGCCAACAGACCGCCTCCACTTCCCCTCCCACCTACAGTGGGTTGAACAGTATCTCCAAAAATTCGTGTTTGCTCAGAACCTCAGATTATGACCGTATTTGGAAATAAGGTCTTTGCAAATGTCGTTAGTTAAGATGAGGTCATACCCAGTTGGGTGGGCCTTAAATCCAATGACTAGTGTTCCTGTGAGAAGAGGGAGGGACACACAGAGGGAAGAAGGCTGGCTGAAGACAGTCACAGGGACTGGAGAGAGGCAGCCCCATGCCAAGGGATGTCAGAGCCACCAGAAGCTGGGAGAAGAAAGGAAGGATTCTCCCCTACGGCCTTCAGAGGGAACGTGGCCCTTAACACCTTTGTTTTGAACTTTTGGCTTCCAGACTGTGCAAGAATAAACGTCTGGGATTTTTTGTTTGTTTGCTTGTTTTTGGTTTTTGTTTGTTTGTTTCTGAGAGACAGAGCATGAACAGGGGAGGGGCAGAGAGAGGGGGAGACACAGAATCTGAAGCAGGCTCCGGGCTCTGAGCAGTCAGCACAGAGCCCGACGCGGGGCTGGAACCCATGAACTGTGAGATCATGACCCGAGCCAGTGTCAGAAGCTTAACCGACTGAGCCAGCCAGGCACCCCAGTGTCTGTTTTAAGCCCCTGTGTTTGTGGTAGTTTGTCACAGCAGCCGTGGGCGGTGGGCACACCCGGCCTCCATCCTACCCCTATATCTTGGCCTGAAATCTCTGAGCCCGGCTCACAAGTCAGGCACATCCGAGCCCACATCCCAGCCCGTCTCTTCCCAGGGGTATGTGCGCTGGGACAAGCCCCTTCACCTCTCTGAGCCTAGGGATGCCCCGAACCCCGATCTGTGAGATGATAGCCCAACGTGGCACGCAGCCAGCACCCACAAATGTGAGCAGTTAGGAGAGGGGACTGTGTCATGCTCGGGGACATGCGCTGGGACCACAGATGCAGCACAGACCCCACAGCTGTCACCTGGAAGTCCCTTGTCTCTCAGCCTCAGTCTCCCCATCAGAAAATTAAGCTAGTAAATCTTTCCTCGGCCATAGCACAGGCTGATTGTGAAGAGACATTGGTCACGAGGTTGCTCTGTCAGTGCTAAAGGGTCAGGGAGTTGTGAGGGATTAATATGACGGTAACTCTGATGTCACCCTTAAAAAAATTTTTTTTTAATGTTTATTTTTGAGAGAGAGAGAGAGACAGACAGAGCACAAGCAGGGGAGGGGCAGAGAGAGAGACACACATAGAATCTGGAGCAGGCTCCAGACTCGGATCTGTCAGCACAGAGCCCGACGCGGGGCTCGAACACACGGACCGCGAGATCATGACCTGAGCTGAAGTCGGACTGAGCCACCCAGGCACCCTTGACGTCACCCCTTTAAATGTCACATTCTCTGAGGTCTCCGGCCACCTTGTGCCAATTTGTACCAGCTCCTCCACCCCCGCCCCCAGGGATTCCCTACCCTCCCTCTGCTTCGTTTCTCTCCCCAGCACCACCCACAAGCCACTCTCACTCCATGTCCTCCTTATGTTTCGGTGCCTTGTCTCTCTCACGAGAATGTCAGCTCCATGAGGACAGGAACTTGTGCCTGTTCTGTTCCCCGCTGTGTCCACAAGATGCAGGCACAAAGCAGGTGCTCAAAACATATCCACTGAATGATAAACTTAGGATGACGCTGAGGCCTCTTTGTTCTTGAAACTTGCATTCCAGCTCCTCTGCCACCTGTGTGTGTGTGGCCCTGGGCCACCCCAGCCCTCTCCGCGCTTGGTTTGCTCCTCTGTAACATGGGGGTGATGAGGGCATGAGCCCCCTGAGTATAATGTACCCGGCGGCCACATAGTAAAAATTACCACAACCTTGACTACTAGCCATTAGTACTTTCTCCATGCTGGGCACTGTTCTAAGCACATCACATAAATCAGCACATGGAATCCTTATTCCCTGCTCTGCGAAGGGGAGGGGGCGGTGGGCTGTTAGTCCCATTTTACAGTTGGCAAAGCTAAAGCCCAGGGAAGTTTTAAGGGACTTGCATAAAGTCTCCATGAATGGAAGCTTCTCTCCTGTTGAGGACTTACTGTCTCACAAAATGGGCAGAGGGCTGGAGGCAGGAGGGAAGGGCCGCTTGGGGGCTTGAGGGCATTTAGGACAGAGTGGAGGTGCACCCCCCTTCTACCCCTCCCCACTGGGTCCGGGACAGCTGCCTGCCACCCGAGAAGCTGGACGAGGTATCTGGATAAATCGCTAGGCTGCGATGATCTGTAACGGGGCTGGCAGGGGAACCAGGCTGTCTGAGCACACGACTGGCCACTGCAGGGACCTCAGGACAGACAGGCAGACCAGGCCTCTCCTGGCCGCTCCCCAGAAAAGGAAGAGGAACCAGACAAACACAGCCACTCCGGGATTCCCAGGCCACGCTGGGTACCGCCCAGGCATACCCAGTTAGAGCCAGGCTGGGCGGAGACTGTCCCCAAGGCACAATTCTTAAGTCATTTAAGAAAATGCATCAAGGAGGGGCGCTTTGGTGGCTCAGTCCGACTCTTGGTTTTGGCTCAGGTCATGATGTCACAGTTTGTGGGTTCGAGCCGTGTGTTGGGCTCTGTGCAGACAGTGTGGAGCCCGCTTGGGATTTTCTCTCTCTCTCTCTCTCTCCCTCAAAAATAAATAAATAAACATTAAAAAACTGCATCAAGGAGCACCTTTCAAGTGGGACTGGAGGCTGGGGGAAAGGGCTCCAAGCACAGAGCCAGGCTCTCACCGATCACCCCACATACACACCATCTATCTCCTTGATCCTGCCCTGGCAAAGACCCCACGGCTTTCAAAGCCCAGCCTCAGCCCTACCTCCACCCAGGGTTTTGCCGGAGCCCCTGCCAACATCCGCCTGCCCTTCTCTCCCACCTGCTAGCAGTTTGTACTTCACTCTAAGCCTCCCATCCGGTACGTTTCACCCTCTATCCACTCAATAAGCATGTTGTCTGACTCTTAGCTGGGAATCGGGACATAGAGGCAGGCCCCAGTTGTCCAGCTCAAGAGAACGGGACGGGCGAAGAGACACGTAAATGGCCCGATGTCTTTATGCTTAAGAGCCACGAAGGACCAGGAGAGATTTAAGGATGGAAGCGTTATTTGAAAGAGAAACAGAACTTCTCAAGGTTAAAAAAACAAGCGTAGGGCATCCCAGGAAGAGAGCACAGCAGAGGCAAAGATGTGGAGGAGGGACAGACAGCAGCAGGTCCTTGGGACTGGGGCAGGGGTCATAGCAATGGCATTGGCAGGTTGGAACCTTGAGCTCTGAGCCTAGGAGACTGCCCACATCAGGAGGGTGGGGGGCCCTGGGAAGATGCCAGCCCAGCCAAGATGTGCATGAACCAGCTGCAGCTTTGGAAGGTCGAGCTGGCTCCGTCTTCCCCTTAGGCTGACTCCCGGGAACCAGGGAGGAGACTGGTCCACTATAGTCATTAGTCCTCCAGGCCGAGAGCATAGCTGGTGCCAATCAACAAACCTCAGAACCGAGTAGAATGAACGGACCTGGTTTGGATTGACTGGGGTTGAGTTGGGTTGGAATGGACTGGATTTTAGAAGCTCTGACTCCATGGTGTCTGTGCCAGGCTCAGTGCCCAGTGGGAGATCCCAGCGGGACACAGCCAGGAAGCTGGGGGTGGGGGGGGGGGG